GTAACGTCACCGCTGTTGACTCGCGTTGCCTAGCGACCAGGATGCTAGGACTCGGGTAACATCGGCTCGCTTCGGCTTCGCTCGGCGCATCACGGCTGGCGGGGGGTGGGGGAGGGGCGTCATCCATAGCTCAGCATGTCACAATATGATATGACATGCAAACAGTAGGAGCACACTGACAGTGAAATAGACACAATCTCCACATCCTTCTGTTCCACATGGTTTATACGAGTAATATATATGCCAAAAGCAGATGTGAGCTGATTAAATGCCGCTCCCCGGCAAGTCTGACCCTGTATCGACTGTACTGTGCTCACATTATCTCAGTATTCCATTAATTACCAACATACAGCATGACTACATACAGGTACACACATGGCACAACCAGACTCCATTATCATCCAATTCAACAATGAACATTACAGGCACGAAACAATTTGATGATGTGACGAGTATATTCGTGCAGCGGTTGCTCTTTATACTCATATATAAACCCTCCAGTTGGTTATGGGTGGGGATACCGGCTGTACTGAATGACTCTTTCCAGGTTATTCTTTAGTTGGTGCAGGGGAAAATGCCACAACTGCTTTGTTTAAAATCTTTCCAAGTTAAGCACTTATAAAGCATTATTCCAACCAATGCTATGTAGACCAAAATACTAAGAGCATAATAAAATAAACCCTAAATAGCACACACTCGCCAGAATACTAATCTACTAGTAGGATACCTGTACATTCTAAAGGCATTTGGAATTGCTGGATTTTTTTACTTTGTCCTTCATCCTGCTAGAACGAGCTCTTTCTAATGGACCCTGCAGAGTAGTTATGCCACCCATCCCTCAAGAGAGGACTGAAACAGACACAGTTCCTGAAATGATACATTCTCTTTGTTTTTTGAACACCAGACAATGAACACAATCCTAAAACCCAGCAAGTGATTCTGAGTAATATACAACACCAATTTTTAATTCTGAATTTTGGTGAAGGAAGCGTAAGTCAGAAACATTTTTTTCTTCTCCTTCAGTTAAGGTATAGGCTTCTATGTCACATTCAGAGTCTCACTGTGATTCTTTTCATCTTCTTTGTCGTTCATAGTTCCTATTCTCTGGTCTCTGTACTATTATTTGTCTTTTCATCCATCCTTTACACGTGGCTCTGCATTGCCTTCTGCAGGTCAGCCCCTCTGCTGCATCAGCTACACCAAATGCCTGTTTAGATGTGCACAGCATGTGTTCACAATGAGACGTAAAATTTATATACAATAAAACAGTTTGTGAGCTAGTGGGATGAGAGGTCTCAAAAAATAACAACTTCCATTGATGATAACTAACTCAGCTCCCTAGAATTACTTATGTAGCAGTAATTAAACTGCAAACACATACTGGAAAAATACATTTCTTGGAAGAAGACAAGCTTTGCTTCAGTCTGGTGGGAATATGGGGTTTCATAAACTGACTGGCTGGATGCAAGTCACTGCGCTCAGGTATATAGTATACACAGCATACTGTGCTACCCCAATGTATATAACAGGAAAACCCAGACTTGCTGACCATCGGAGACACATTTGGATTGCTTCAGCAGGATGGGGTCAACACCAAATACCAGTTCCAGACATCAATTTAGAAGTTCTAATGTCAAATATTAACAAACTTAACACAGCTGCAACTTTCAGAGATGCTACTAGTTGCTCAGCTAATCAATGAATTACCAAAATGTTATGGAATGCAAGGGTTCATTACCATTCACAGCCAGACACAGGCCCTTATCCTGGGCCAGATGATTTCACTCCATATTTCCTTCCTTAAGCATACAGAATACACAGAATCAGCCGACCTTCACACTTTTCTGAGGACAAGTGCAACTTGCAAATCCATTCTTGCACTGTGCACTACTTTATATGGTGAAGACACACAAAATGGAACACACATTCCAGGACCATGGAGCAGGATCAGTTCTGGTGATGCAGCGAGAGCCAACGTGTGGTGACACATGAGAAAGTTATGCTGATGCAGTTATTGAGGGATGAATGCATGGTACATCTTAAGCAAAATGAAGCAGCGTTCCTTGGCAAGAAAAGTGTCAGTAACCAGAGATCACTTGCTCAGAGTGATCAAGAATTAGGTTCGGTTATGATGCAGTTCATTCAGGCAGTGAAGAAAACGGGCATGGAGGGAGGGACATAACTGCTCTGAATTTAAGTACAACTAAAAGCTATTCCTCGTTTCATTAAACTACATGAACCTTTCAATTCCAATCAATAATATTAACAACAGTGTCCAATTTTATTAAAGAATATTTCACAATTTTCAGCTGAATCCTTCCCTCTAAGGCAAAGGAGACCTAAAGCAAAAAGGAGTGTCTCAGTGCCAAACCACTTTCTCTACTGATCTCATGCCTACTGATTTTCTCTGCTGATATTCACAATAAAGAGATGTAAGAAATCCTTTCACGATCCTTTAAATTCTCTGTACTTCTTTATTTCTCCACAAGCAGAATCAACAAACATTTATTTGACTTTCTTTTTATAATCAATATACCAAGCATACCGCAGAAATATATCTTTTCTGCAATGTCCAATAAAGCATAGTTTGTTTTCATCTGACCAATCCATAACAGTTATCTCAATATCCTGAATCCAAGCTATATATTAATCTGAAACTAATGCAAATAACTGATCAACAAATCTACTCACATGTAATGGCAAAAGAGGTCAGATAACACAGCAAAAAATCATATGATGCTGCTGAATTATGTGTATAAGCTGTTGATCTGTTTCAGTGATTACACCCTACTAATCATGAGCTTCCAATGCTGAATTAACATAACTGCAGGAGAACATCATGTCATGTCTGTTTCCACTCAACACGATAGGGTCTTGTGCATATTCATCAGTCAGAATGAAATGAAACTTATTTGTACAGATGTTTTGTACCATGGGACTCAGTTAATTTCACATTAGTTAGAAAGGTTAGCAACAGCAATAAACTGCAATATATTGTAGCATTCTACTAAATAGAAGCATGCCAAACACAGCAAAACTGTCTTACTTACAACATGAAAACTGTGGCATGCTGCAACTCACCTACTGTTCCTTTAGGCTAAACCCATCTCTACTGCTCTATGATTTACTACACTCATCAACATGTAAGTGCTGATGTCTCTTCAGACTAATCTGATCACTGAATGACTTTTTGCACACATCACGGCAAAACGGCTTCTCCCCACTATGTATGTGCATGTGCCTCTTCAGATCACTCATCGAAATGAATGACTTTTTACATACATCACAGCAAAATGGCTTTTCCCCACTATGTATGCGTTGATGTGTCTTCAGAGTACTCTGCTGACTGAAAGATTTATTACATACATAACAGTAAAATGGCTACTCTCCACTATGTATGCCCTGATGTCTTTTCAGATGACTCTGTTGACTGAATGACTTATTACCAGGGCCCAGATCTTGATGACATGTCATCTTTTTTCCTTGTATCCTACGCGATGTTCTTAAATATGTAAATCTTGGATATGAGCTGCTGGTTACAGAAATGTAAATTTCATAGGTAATTTTTTTACATATTTATGTTTAAGGTCATTTTTTTTATTTTGCGGGTGATTTTTTGGGCTTTTAAGTGTATTTCTTGTAATTTTTGCCATTTTCGGTAATTTTTCTTCATATGTTTTCTGAAATATGAATAATATGGAAGCTAAGTGTTCTTTCTCTTTCTCCTAACGCTCTCTACAAAGGCCATAGTATACTATAATAGGTTGTAATCTTGGCCCATCCTTTTTGTTCGTTTTGCAAAGTGCTCAAAATACATATCATAAAACAGGGTACAGCGATGACTACTCACACTGCGGCTCTTTGTACAAAGCAATTTGCTTAGTTACACATATTTCTAGTCAGAATCTCTTGCTTCATATGACATTGATTTTCAATAAAACTCCTGTTTTCCGTTCCTCGCCTAGGACCATGCACTGCACAGAGTGATGGAGGAAGTGAGATCAAAATTTCCTCAAGTGGAAGCTCTCGTGTCGAGGACGAAGAAGATTTTCGTCAAGCTTCCAGCTCGTAAAATGCATTTTAAGTCTATGGCTCCTGGTGTTCCACTGCCCCCAGAACCCGTCATTACAAGGTGGGAATGTGGATTGATGCTGCGATTTACTATTGCAATCATTTTCAGGTAGTGAAAAACATTATAGATTCAATGAAGATGGAGGATGTGAGGGCAATTGAAACTGCTCAGGAACAGTTCTCGTGCATCGAAATGGAAGGACAGCTGGCCTTCATAAAGGCAAATTTCAGTTCCTTGACAGACGGAATCCAATGCTTGCAGGAGAAAGGAGCAACGATAGAAGGTTCGCTTGCTCTGGTGAAAAAAAATAGCCAGTGAATTGAAGAAAGTGTCAGGGGTCATTGGTAAAAAGTTGTCAAGAAAAATGAAAAGTGTTCTGGAGAAAACCTCAGGTTACAAAACATTATGCAATATTTCTCGAATTCTATCAGGACAGTCCTTCAGCGCTTTCAGTATTCAAGAACTTACTGCTAGTGATTTGGTACACTTCAAGTACGCTCACATTGTGTCTGCAGATGTGGAAAGGAGTTTCTCCAACTACAAGAATGTGCTGTCGGACAATAGGCGCTCTCACACTTTCGAGAATCTCGGCATGTTGACTGTCATCTATTGCAAATGTGAATGAGGTAAGACTTAAATGTTGGAATATATACCATACATGTACATTTGATAAGCGATCTATCATGATAGAAAAAATTGTATTAAAACATTTAGCTTCAAATTCAATCAATATTGCTTAATTTTCAACATAAATACGAGGATGAACTTAAAAGAGTAAAGATGAGTTCAGTGTTAATAAAGATTAAAACACATTTTAAAATAATTAGTAGATAATCTGACATATTACATTCTTCGGTCATATTTTAGATCATTTTTCTGGATTTTTTCGGTCATTTTATAAATATTTTCAGGGCATCAAAATCCGGGCCCTGCTTATTACATACATCACAACAAAATAGTTTCTCCCAACTATGTATGCACTGATGTCTCTTCAGATGACTCTGATGACAAAATGATTTATTACGTACACCACAACAAAATGGCTTCTCCCCACTATGTATGCATTGATGTATCTTAAGTTGACTCTGCTGACTAAATGGCTTATTACACACGGTCCAACAAAAAAGGCTTCTCTGCACTATGTATGCTTTGATGTGTCGTAAGTTGACTCTGCCAGCTGAATGAATTATTACACACGATGCAACAAAATGGCTTCTCCCCACTATGTATGCGTTGATGTGTCATGAGAATATTCTGCACACTGAATGACTTATTACATACATCACAGCAAAATGGCTATTTGCCACTATGTATGCATTCATGTATTTAAGTTGACTCTGCCAGCTGAATGACCTATTATACAAGATGCAACAAAATAGCTTCTACCCACTATGTATGCGTTAATGTGTCTTCAGATTACTCTGCTGACTGAATGACTTATTACATACATCAGAGAAAAATGGCTTCTCCGAACTATGAATGTGGTGATGTGTCTTCAGATGACTCTGCCTTCTAAACGACTTTTTACACACATCACAGCAAAATGTCTCCTTCCTATGTATGTATGTGCATATGCCTCTTCAGATCACTGTTCAAAATGAATGATTTTTTACATATATCACAGCAAAATGGCTTCTCCCCACTATGCATGCATTGATGTGTCATGAGAATACTCTGCACACTGAATGACTTTTTACATATATCACAGCAAAATAGCTTCTCCCCACTATGTATGCGTTGGTGTGTCTTCAGACTACTCCGATCACTGAATCACTTGTTACATACATCACAACAAAATGGCTTTTTGCCACTATGTGCTGATGTGTATTCAGATGACTCTGGTTTCTAAATAACTTTTTATATACATTACAGCAAAATGGCTTCTCCTCACTATGTATGCCTTGGTGTGCTTCTAGATTACTCTGCTGACTGAATGACTTGTTACACATGATGCAACAAAATGGCTGCTCCCCACTATGTATGTGTTGATGGGCTATCAGAATTTGCTCTTGACTGAATCAATCACAAGTCTTATCACAGAAATATTGGCGCTCCTCCCCATGTGTGGGTTGAATTTCATTCAAATTACCCTGGAAAATGAGAGTAAACAACATGATAAATCCTAATAGCAAGAGAAATAAGCTTAAAGCCTCAATACAGTGAGATGTTAAATCAGCAGGTGTGAGAGTGACGAAGGAGAGGAGAGGGAGGGGCAGAGAGAGCACACCCCCTTGTGTGGTGTGAGCCTGAGTCCATCAGCATGTATGGAGGTTTCTGAGTCAACAGATGTTAAGCTGCACTGTCACTGTTTAACAAATTGCAATATTAATTAAAATTATGCATTTGTATGGCTGGAGAGACAACTAATTAACAGTGGATAGGCTCCTAGAAAGAAATAACAATAAAGCCTGAGCTAAAGTGGCCCAGCAAACTTCCCATACACGTGACAATAAAAGGCCTCAAAAAGAATAATAGCACAGTGTCAGTTCAATAGACATGTAGACCGTGATACCATGAGGAAATCCACGAGTCACCTAGGTTGCACTCAAGATTACTTCAAATGTAAACTTCCGCTTTTGCCAGAAATGGCCACTACTTCTGGCTGCGTGAAATGGTAATGGGCACACCACACTGTGTAGAAGCAGGAGTGCGAACGCTTTGCAACAGCTACATATGTACATAAAATGTATGCAGTCACTTCACAGTTTACGATACATGACACTCTATGATGTGAGCATGTGCCACTTCTCGAAGCAGTCCATGACACATAGCACAACACCACACTTTGTACAATAGTAAATGGTGCTCCTTCTTTTCTTATTTAGTGACGCACATGATGTCTTTGTTTCCCTCTGGTTGGCCAGTGCTGTGAATGTTTCACCTCCAGTCGACTAGTTGGGCCCCAGATGAACTTTGCCTCCCCCAAAAAACGCCATTGACCACGATATTTCATTTGTGCAATTAAAGAATCATCTTGGGGGAGGAGGGTTTCTATCAAAATTGAATAAATTATGTTGATTGACAAAGCGACACTCTTACCTGTTAGTAATACTCGCACAATAGTGTTGCAAAGTAATTATAATAGTAGTCAAAAAGAGTCCCAGACTGACACTGATACCACAAGTCACAGTGATGAAGATGCCTTTTACTCACAAAGTAATACTGGCTCAATGGGTTTAAACCTCTTCCGACACACAAAATAAAATATTGTGACATATTTTCACTATGCAGGACACCCCGCGGTGATGTAACAGCACTTCTCACTGTGACGTCACAGGGGACACCACCGTTAACACGAGGCAAAAGGGAATGGTATGTCAAAACGGCTAATCAGTATGTGATGAGTATGACTGACAAATGACAGACCCGACCTATCATCAGAGAAGGCGCACCAAATGAAGAGGACAGTAACTTCCATATAAGAAAAAAGGAAAAGAAATCTGGACATGAGCCCCACTCGGGCTCGACACCATGATAGACGGACTGACAGACCGCCAGGAGCTCGACACCAAGACAGATGGACTGACAGACCGCCAGTTGCAATGTGACTTGGACTTGGATGTGAGCAGTGTGTGATCAGGAGTGACACGGTGTGGATCGTGAAGTCACCGAGAGCAGTGGAAGCAATTGTGATACTACCAGTGGCAGTAATTGTGAATTGTATACGTGTGCGAGCAAATGTGGAACAAATTCGCTATATTCAATATGGAGTGAAGTTATTTGTCACGTTACATACCCAACACGTGACAATATATAAAGAAATATATGACAGTCTGACACTGACTTTCAAACTGATAAGGAAATATACCACAATCCGACACCAGCTTCCTGACTGATAATTCGCTATGGAAAACCAATCCTTTAATACATCACATTTCCTTCAAAGCTCTGGGAGTACTAACATGCAAACACAGATGAATATTTAGTCCTCAGTTCTCAAAACAAAGATGTGCTCCATTTGGCTGACCACACTATAAACAGTCATATCTAAACATAAATAGTATCAAAACCAGTAGCGTGATAAACAATTTCATTGTTCAGAGTTAATGAATGAACCTCTGACATGAACTTGCATGAGTCTGTTTTGGTTTTAAACCAAAGATCAAATTGTCAGCACTCCCATAGGGAGCATGAGTCCTTTATATAACATTTGGCCAACACTGGGTGCTACTTGCTGTAGATATATATTACATTCATCCATTAAAGGTTAAGGGTTAATCAGAACCACTTCTGCTGCCGCAATGAATGTCTACGTGCAGGGGGACAGCATTTTCAATACCTTCTGTGACCTGTGAACTGCATACTTCATTTCACACGATACTGGCCACAAGCGTACTGATTCACTGGCAAAATTAGTATGCGTCTTGCAGCAGTGGTACATCAGTCATTGTGAACTGGCCGAGAAAAGTAAGAACCTCCGTCTATATGTAGATGTAGAAATTTTCTTTGATGTTCATTAATAGCCTTATTTATGTGTTTACTTACATGCACTGTATATTCCATTTCACCACAATTGTGTCTATATACTTGTATTAGGATGTGTTGCCAATGCCACTTCTTCACTATTGCTCTCCACACCTTTTACACATTCTTTGTATCTAATGTTCAGTCACCTTTCTGTCTGACAGACAACAACAAAAAATCTGTCATGACAACCAGTCACCTGAAAGCAGGTACAGGGGCAACTCCAATGGTGTCAGGTATATTAAGAGTGTTACTGGTACAATCTCTGAATAACTCTGCAAAATTAGTTAGACGCAAAAATTAAAGTGAATCCTAATTTAGCTTAAAAGGATAGGTGAAAGTGCAATCACTTGTAAGTGTTGTGCTAAAAAAAGAAGCAGATTCTAAACAACTAGCCACCGGTCATGGTAGTCAAGCAGTCTAAGGCATGCACTGTGTTCGCTCGCTCGGAAGCCGAAATCGTGGGTTCGAATCCCACTCAGGGCATAGATGTTTGTGTGCGTTTTTCTCTGTCTGTCTACAGGTACAGGCCTTGTGATGAGCTGATCACTCGCCCAAGGAGTCCTACCGTATGTGTAGGATCTAGAAAAACCGAAGTGAATGGAGAAGTTCATGGAGGTAGGCCTAGGCCCACTGGGGCTGTAGTGCCAAGAAAAAAAAAAACAACTAGCCAAGAATCCGGTCGCAAAATTTTGAGTGATTTCAAGTTTGTTTAAGGGATTAAGGACAAGTGCTGTTACCTGAACATCAAAAAGTGCTCATTAAACCGTGTGTGATAGTGCCTAGCTATAAACACTCTTATCTTTCCTGCTAACGCGAGGCCCTTATGTACCCTGAGACAGAATCTCATCACTCTAGTGCGAATGCAGTACTTATCACCTGTAGTTTCCGGTTCATCCACCCCTTTTTCTGAAACGTAAGCCTTTATAGTAAGCTTACTGGCGCCCAGCATTCATGTAACCCATATCCTGCAAACATCAAATATCGACAACACCAACAAAAAGGGAAGAAGTGGACAAGAAGGACGCAGCAGCAACCTGCAAACTCGGAGTAACAACCGGTGAGAGGGAATGGCTGGTGTAGCAGCTGCAACCAGCAACAAGGAGGCCTAAAGACGGTAAGAGAGAAGATGGAGCACAACGTAAGGAGTAGGACAGTTACAGCATCCTTCTGCTTCTTCCCCTACTCAGCTGACTTCTATGGTGAATTACAATGCATTTTTTTCTCACTGCCTCTTTTTCAAAACAACATCATTAAAATCAATTTAATAGTACAATAATCAATTTTACGATGAATAACATAAGTTTTTAGTGATCAGCATGGGATATGTCAGTGAAAATTAGCACAAATTAATTTAATGACGTTGGTCTGAGGAAACTACAATATGCTACAAGATTTCATTAGTCCATTGAGAAATAATTTTAATGTCATTTTATGTGTGTCAACATGCCACACCATATACATAAGTGTACTAATTCTCATTATGGTTATGCTATAATTAATTAGTATTATTACGTTGGCCTAATGCATGAACTTTAACAACACTGGAAAGGTATTTAAGAGTAAATTTGTTGGGACTGGGCCCTTGTCTTACAAAAAAGAACTTACTGGGGCGCGATCTCATAAAAGTTGAGAACCACTGCTCTAGGAAACTGTTTCGCCGGAAATTCTTACGGCCGTGTGGAGTGAAGGGTAGCTCCTCGCATTCTAAATAACCTTAAACTAGATGGGCTTCATGAATGGGCTGCTTCAGTGCCTAGTAAACATTTCCTGGTGTACCCACAAATGTTTTCTTTATGCAAGGATATAATTTATTTTTTGTTTATAAAAAGTTTTTGATTAAAAAATACTTCCGCTTCCTAGTGAAATTTAGATCTGAATTTCCTGTGTAGATAATTTGCCGCTATGCTGTACCACTTTATGACCTGAATGCTGCAAGCTGCCATTTGCTAAAAATCGCTTTTGTGTTTCACTTCCTCACATGTTGCACTATTGTTTGTCTTAACAAGGAGTTCTAAAGCACACAACTATAATATTTAAATGCACTGTCGATAAGTTGTAACCGACATAACGACTGACATATGGGAGAAGTTACGTACATTGCCTCCACCGTGCTAGTGAGACGGCGCAGACGCAAACAGAGGCGCTACGGTGTTATTGCATGTGGTGCACGAAGTACATTTGATTCCTTTGAATCAACAGCCATGCTCAAGAAAGACATTCATTTAGAGTTTCTATTAAGGAAAAATTCCCGTTCGTAAAAAAAGAGCCTTCAACACTTTGTAATGGCATGCAACGAAGAATTTATCATCTCCTTGGGCAACGGAAGTCATCAGACGTTTAAACGAAGTTGAATTTATATGCGCTAGTTGATGGTGTTGTGCCCTAGGTTATTAATGGGAATGATTCTATTTAACGAGGAGTCAATTTTATGTTTAATTTATTAGAAATTTATCATAGGTTTTGTAAAATTGAAATTCGTTAGGTGCCCCACAGGATGGCCAGCCGGAAACCAGTGTAGAGATCACCATTACACGTAGCTTATTCCTTAGCCAACCGGTTCCATTTGTACAGTTCACAGAAAAGCTGCCCAATCGGATGAACGACACAGAGGCAAGTCTCGCTCTTGCAACATAGGTTATCGGCCAGTATGAATTTACTGATTTGATGATTTTTAGTGGATAGAATTTTTATGATTTTGAGTTTTGGGGGTTCGGGCACGAGCCATCGCTAGCATTCCGACTTTAGAAGTCGCTCGGAACACTTGTGTGGTAAGGACAGTGCGAAAGAATTTCGAGATGGCGTCCAGGCCATCTTTGTTTTGCGACTTGTCTGGTCGCATGAGTTCTTGCCTGTGTTCGGTCCACTGGTTATTTGTTAAAATGAGTAGCTCAGAACAGTTGTGCGGTATTAAAACCGTTCGCAGCTCCTTCACAAAAGAAGTTTTTAACACTTGGAGAGTTATGACCGGTCAGAAGGTTCTCTCCAGGGTCTTTTTGGAAATATTTCTCTTTATTAGAGCTGAGGACACTTTGTAAAAGTAAGAAGAGCGCCAGGCTGGTTTTGTTTAAGTCCGGGTACTGTGACCTGTCATGACCTTTTTCTTCTCGGAATTGCGTAAGCAAACTTTCAAGCTGTTGGTTCTTTAGAAATTTCTAGCTCGTCCCAAAAACCTTCCTCTTTTTATGTCAACTGAGCTTCTCTCTTTCTGTTTCCAAATTACATAGCACCCTGGAGTAGGAGGGAGGCCTGACTTCCCTTCTTGCCATTTGGGTTCAGGTCCCTCTGGTTTCAGTTGGGTGTGGGGCATTACATCTGCTTCTATGTAGTGACAAGTACCGACATCAGTAAACAAAAACAGTGCGGTCCTTTGCATTGTACGGTTACAACGGTTAGGATGTAACACTTGATTTACTAAATGTTTGTTAGAAGATATAAGGCTTGACTTATAAACCGATCGTTAGGATACAGAATTTTTTGACACTTCATTGTTAGGAGATATAAGTTAGTTTGAGTTTGAGTGCTGGAACAGGAAATTTGGTTTGTACCATGTAGGTTTAAAGGAGTTTGTTTAACAAATTTTAGGAGGTACTTTTAATGAGTGAATTAGAATGCTGTGTACATTTTATGGTTGTACATATGAACTTATTGATTTTATAATATTTGTTCTTTTTTTAACAAATTGTGAGTTTGTTGGGGTATTCGTATTATTTACGTCATTTGGAGGAGAAGAGACTACCCACAGATGTTTAATTGTTGGCATTCAAGTGGGATACTTTAAATGATAATGCTGGCCGCATGGGATACAATAAGAAAATTGTGCAATATGACTCCCTAGAGTCGAGTAAGGGATCTCGAAGGAGAAAAACCAAAACGGACGACAAGTCGGGCTTGGCGGATTTACTGGGCAGGAGCTATGGTGACACAATACACATACCCAATCAACTTTTCTAAAATCATAGAACTATATTGGTAACTTGGGTATAGATTATCAAAAACAGGCCTGAAAGGCTATTACAGTTATTACAATTAATGGTTAAACAAATACTGCAACACGACTAACGGCGTACAAATCAAACTAGTGCGACACCTTATGGCGTATTAAACTATACCACGTCTCATTGCAAACCAGACATCTCAAATAAGTCACTTACTCGTTTTCTTAAGGAAACTCAAATATATTTTTACCTCCACAGAGTAGTCATAACCGACTAGCTCGTGAGGGCTGCTTCTCCCCCGTCTTCTTTTGCTGCATCCCGAAACATAATTTGTCAAACTCAAATTAACTGTTCCAAAAAGATAATTTTTTAACTCGCGATGTTGCTGGCTCGAAGTTCAGAGGGAGAAGAGAACACTTCCTAATTCTGGGCTTACCAAGAGCTCCCAGATGGACGTAAGGAAGGGGGATAGGAACACGCGAGGTGACGTCACCCAAAGACATCAGTCAGAAAGAAAGGATCGGCCTTGCATAGTGGTGTTTGGAGAAGAGGAAAGAGTGAGCCCCTCCAAAGATCTTACTAGAGGAGAACCGTTGCACGGTTCACGACAGTGAATGGCGTTTTGCGCCACAATAATGTTTCTAATCCGTTAATTTAACATTACTACCGGTGTTCGTAAAATATATCGAGTGTAATTTATAATGAATTATAAAATGATTTCTAGAATAATTTGCACTTTTTTCGCAAAAAAAATTATCCTTTTTATTTGTCTGATTATTTTGGGGTATGATTTTTTCTAAATATATTTTATTACAATATGTATTAACGTTACAATTCGATAATTTAAACATTGTATTAATGTACTCGTGCATGCTTTTAGCATGAGTAACATTGTTGTGCCCGGATTGGGGGCAGTGACTGTGCTCACCCCCTATCGGACATCCGTGGATATCACTTAACCTATGCTGTGGAAAACATGCTTCACTAGGAGGGTCACAAAAACTCAAGTACTCCCAACAACAACAACAACAAAAATGGAATATATAATCAAATTAAAACACTTATACACCTCTAAATTCTAAAAACACATTAACCCACCAAAATAATTTAAACCAGAAGTTCTAATAAGCCATCAGTGACCCGACCACGGGCAAGTACTCACTCGCGCTAAACATGATGCACATGAAAAACACTGGCGCCTTCCCAAGGTTTTCCACAGGCACACTTTGCTTTACTCGTTCGTTTCTGGCAACTGCTAGAAACAGAGTGCCTGAAACGGCCTGTTTTCCCAATTCCAAGATTCAACTCTTTCCCAAGTTGCGAAAGCTGCGCGTGCGAAATCCCTGAGTTCGGCATCTTGCCGGACATGCCTTGTCGCGCTAAGCGAAACCTGACCGGGTCTCTCCACTGATGCTTAAACAGTCTTTTCTAAAGACAATTCGATCGACTGCCAAGGAATGCGAAGAGTCAGCCGCGGCTGTCTCCTTGCCTTCCGGCCAGCCGTCTGGCGTTTTAACATAAACATTCAATCTTACAAAAATTATACTTAATAACTAATGAAATGGGCTCAACAAACATTAATAATATTCAGGACATGCATTCTGTTTAGCCCGTCAATATTTTCATTTTTTATACCCGTCAACACAACAACCAAATAAACAACTCACCTCCACATTCGTATCAACTGAGATTATTTAACGTACGGTACCCATTAAGTGTCGACTTTAACGGAGGCATATTCAGACGATACGATACTGATCTGTAAATCTAACGTGTCGACTCTAACGGAGCCACAGTTAATCGATACATTGCTGATCTGTATCTCTTACGTTATTGGCATCATACAAATTTTGGTGCTATTGTACAATGAGTAACGAATGATTTACAGAAAAAAATGAACTTTTTTATGCACAGATATAATTACACTTAATTTTGTGTGTAAAAATTCTGAGGTACTATTTTTCCTTCAACTTATATTAAAACGTATATTTACGTTACAATTCAATAGCCTACGCCTTGTAGTCATCTATACATGTATGCTCTCTGCATGACTAGCATTAAAAATCATTAGCGACCGCATCCCGATTTTGTTCATCAATATGCTTTTCTTTTTCATATCCTTAAGCATATATAAGAACTCCGTTCTACGTTTGTGTGAACTGAGATTACTTAACACACCGTAAATATACGCAAAATATTTCGACTCATGGAGCTATCGTCAGGAAACACAATACATAAAACCACAAAATACTGACTTGAAGATATTATGGATCCATATTACAAAATGCGTTTATATTATAAAATGATTTAAAAAATAAATTATAGAAAAAATTGTATCGTTTCATGCAGAGATTTACATTATTTTATTAAATACATATTAGCATTACAATTCAATAGTCTATAAGTTTTGTATTCATTTATTTATATATGCCTTTTGCGAGACTGCCATTAAAAATGTGGAGGATGGAGAGCAGAGNAGAGAAAAAGGTGTCCGATTAATAGAGAAACAAGAATTGTTACCTGGAGTTTATTGTGGTACTTCCTTAGGCGAATGCAATGGTGAATTTGTTTCCTGTTTAATAGTAAACTTAACAGCAGAACCCATTATGACCTTACCCCTACCGAGATTAATTAAACCCCCATGTAAGTTTGAAAGGCTAATCAAGGAACAGTTTTTTT